CTTTCTTATAGACATTTATTTCTTAATAAAGGTATATAATCTTATAAGGAATCTTGTATTACATTTTAAAATCTTAGATTTAAAAAGAAAAATTTTTACGAATTCTTAACTCAAAATAATTTGCTAATTTTCGTGATTTTTCTATATTTTGTCAATTTTTGGACTTTTAATGTTTATAAAAAAAAACTGTGACTTAGAATTTCTAATATTTTTAATCTGCCTTTGAAACAATATACTAGAAGCCCTCTATTACATTTTCAAGCTTTTTTAACCAACTAATACATTTTTATTGTTATTCATAAAAAAAAAACTAATAAAATTGGAAACTGAAAATGTCCCTAAACGGTTCAAAATTAATCAAAATATTTTAAAAATGTTATCGTGTATACAAAATGCAAATATAAACAACCAGTGAAAATTTCACTTATCTACGGTCTTTTGTTTTAAAGTTACACCAAAAACCAAAATCGATATTCTCGAAAACAGATTTTGCTTAAAAATTCCCGTTTTTCCTTAAGTTTTCTTTTGTTTTTCACTGTGCTTTTGAAAACTACTGGGAAATTTTTACTTTTGACCCCCCAAAGTACCAACTAGATTCACTTTCCTATCAGAAAAGATACAGTTGAAGAAAATCCAAGCACTTTTACTGTCCTAAAAGGCGATGACGCAGACACAAAAATAAAAAATTAAAAAAAAACACACATCATTGTAAAATCAATACATTCATCGTTAATCTCAGAATCTAAAATTGAAGGAATTTTAATTCATAAAATGTTTAGTAGGTATTCACCTACGATTTGAAAATTGAATATAAAATCCTCATATTAGTCATAAGTTGTCATTACTGGAATTAAAAAAAAAAAGTTGTGCGTGATTTTGTTTTTATTCTATAAATAATTTGTATGTGTATCCAAGATGTATATTTAAAATGTATATGCTTCAGGCATAAAAAACGATTTCACATCAAACAGGATTTTCTTAATATACATGTTATAATTTAAAAACGAATATTCGTATACTTGAAAATTTCGTCGAATGTTTGTTGTTTATATAATAATTTTTAAAATAATTCGACTGTTTGAGATACATATATTATGTATATTTTGACATTTTAGATTCTGAGCGGAGCGAAATGGTGTTTATTTTTGTTTTTATCTACCAGAAAGAGTGCTTCGATTCCAACATATAGTACCTTATCTTTTAGCAAATTGGATCAAGATGGTACTTTAGAGAAGTCATTTTTCGAGTCTCTCAATAGTTATTTAATGTTACAGGAAAAACTACCGACAAATTACGAAAAACCGCTAATAATATGATTTTAATTTCTAAAAATTTGTTAATCGCCAGAGCAACGAATAAAAAATAATAATATTATAATATTAATTCAACTAACAGGCTATAATAATTAATAATAACAACCTAAAAAATCTAGACTGACGAACCATCTCCGCTCAGAATCATTTTTTTATACAATGATATTATATCATTGAAATATATCAGCATAGAAGCAAATTGGGGGGCTTGGGGGTGCTAAGCCCCCAAAAAACCTAGGACATACAGTTTTAATATGCTATATTGCAATGGTCTGCTTGCTTTTAATATATTCAGCCCCCCCCAAGTCAAAAATTGAAATTGCGCCTATGTATACCAGTTTAATACAATCCTTTTTACAATGACCCACTTGTAACCTACTGTACAGCAGAGGGACATCCACTTTTTATTATTGGTATTTAAAAATATTAAAGATACGTAGCCACGAAATTGTAATATTGTAAATTAGGCGAAAGCCCGTGATGTATTATAAAATAAAATAAAATAAGCATTTGAAGTAGACATTTTGACAAATAATATGTAAATTATTTTGTATTTAAATATTTTAAACTATTCAATTTTAAAACTAAGGGCCGAGGCTTAAAATGCAATATTACGTTTCTTATAACAGTCATAAGTCATAACTAATAACCAGGGTTGGGATTTTATAGCACTTAAAATTGCATAAATATGCGCTATAATATTACCTTAAATATCGCTAAATATATCTAATAAAAAAAAAAAAAAATTTTATTTATTAATTAATAATGATTTAATCACTTACAAACTATTATAGGTAGTTACTTAAGTTTTGAAATAATTTAGTCACTGAATACTGAATTCTGAAGGGCTGTAAAAAAAAAATACCTTATACGAAATTATCTTAATAATTTGATTGACATAAGTACCTAATCTATAAACAGGTTTACTAGAATATAATTTCATAAAATATAATCAATTTTGATTTTAAAAACAGGTAAAAATGCAAGTCTCAAAAAGTCCAAAAACTAAAAAATCACCTTCATGTGCTCAAAAAGCTTAATAACATTTTTAATTTGAGTTAGGTATCTGTATCATGAAACACATTTTTAGCTTATTCTGCTATTTTTTAAGCATCTCATAAGAAATATGCAAATGCTATAAAATCCCAATCCTGCTAATAATTTCCTAGAACCAACAAATCTAAAAAAAAAATACACAAACACAATTTCATTTTATAAATATTTTAAGTTAAAATGTGGACGCAATTCTATATTTAAACAAAGAATAACGATTCAGTTAGGTACCTATTTTGTCTTAAGTTATTAAATAATATTTTGGGTATTTGATACTTTTAGTTTTAACTAGGTATAGGTATTATTATATTTTATGTAGGTACATAATGACATTTTCAAATAATTTAGATTATCAATTATCTATATGCTATTGCTTATTTATAGTTTATAGCATATTACTAAGTAAGTAATATTAACATACAATTACTATAATAATAAAATTAATAGCAATATAATTATATAATAATAGGATGACAGACCGTCTCTGCTCAGAATGATTTTTCATATGCAAATATAATGCAATGATTTATCATTGAATTCAAATTTAAAACATCCATTACACTTATATTACAGTGGCCCATTAGGCCACTCGACACCTACTGTACAGCTGAGTAGTAACCTACTTTTTAACTTCATATTCCTAAATAGAATATTATTCGGAGTGTTTTAGTCAATAAAAATCAAATTTCAGACGAGTTCTTTATTAGGGAGTTGTAAGTAGATATTTCAAGTTTAGACGAGCAGAAGAGTTTTTGCGTTTTAGGTACCTACTCCTATAATACTACTGTAATACTATGCTCATAACCATTTTAAAAACCTACTCATAAACTACATATTTCAAATTAAATTTTAATGTATCGAAGTACTCAGAAAAATATTCTACTTTGTAATAAGGAATTAAAAATGTATGTTGTCATTAAATAAAAAAAATTAAATATATTTTTTAGTAAAATGGATGACTCGGTATATTCACCAATGGATACATGGCCTGGACGGTATTATACAATGTACACATACATACACACATAAGTTAAAATTGTTTTTAGAAAACGGACAATAATTATAAACTATAATGAAAATACCGGTTAACTTCTTTTGAATTCTATTTTATAAGTCACTACTACTATTGTATTCAATGTGGGATTATCTGAATCACTTTGCGTGTGGTGGAAGTTAGTTAAATAATTTTACAGATCATAAACTTAAAAAAATATTTAATTTTTGATTGTTTTTGTCTACATAGTATAGGTATTATATATTTATATGAAATGTTGGAAAATGTAAGCGTGTCGCGTGTGTTACATTGTTTAATATTTTCTGACAAATAATACATCTTACTATCTTAATAATATTAATAACAACATATTATTTTGAATTACCTAACAATAAATATTTATTTCTTAAGTACTACATGCTTGCATAATTTGGTTCTTTTTATATCAATTATTACATCAGTTAATAAATGAATAATCTTAAATTTAATTCAAAATCTAATAAAATATTTAATGGCCAATTTTAAATCTATATTAACAGATTACTTTGGTCAAAAACAAAATTAATAATATTAATTAAAGAAATCCATTATTATAAATTATCATAGTATATCAATAAATTGATTGTTCAGTTGATAAATTATTTACAAAATTTAAAATTCAGTATATTATACTAATATTATACAACATCATATACAATATACATGGGTTTATTCAAGGAAGACTTTGATTTTATATATTTTAAATTTAAATTGAGATAAATATAAAGCATTTTTTTTAATTTTATGAATAAATCATATTAATTACAAGTTACTGTAATTTATATACATAAATAATAATTACACATATATTATATGGGGTCAATCAATGTTTATAGGTACTACAAAAAAAAGCCTATTTTGCATTAGAATCTTAATCGGTAAGTACTTAATGACTGTATTCAGTATAATAATAAATATTATTATGTTTTATTATCAAACTACATTATACTGTTTAGTGTATATGCATATTGTATATAAATGAATATAAATATATTTTAGTAAAATAAAATAAAAAATAATATTGCTAAAATTAGATAAAACATCACATACTATTATAATAAATCAATGATAACATTGAACTCTATATCATGATTTACCACATTGATTATATAATATTTATTTGTTAAACAAAAAACAACAATTTGTGATACTTAAATTTCACATATTTAAAGTATTGTAAAAAAAAAAAAATAATAACCAGTAGGTATTCTAATTTCTAATGTTATAACTTATATCTTAGGTGTGTTTGTACAATAAAGATTTCTATTAAGCAAAGTAACAAAAATTGTAATTAAAAATAGAATATTCAGTACATTTCAGCCAAATTAGCTGGATATTTTAGTTAAGGTTTTTATCAACTACATAATATAATGTATGTGTACATAGCTTTAACATTTCTTTAAACATTCATTTTTTTAATACATTAATTTATTACTTATAGATTAAAAAATATAAAACTGTTACAATAATAAAAAAAAAAAATTCAGAATAATGTTCTCGATGCACAATAACTATACACCCTAAGGAACGTTGTTAGGACCATCGCAACCTACTGTAAGAACATTTGATACTAATAGCCATAACATTCAATTATTAGTATCTCAATTGATATTAAATGGTAAATTTGATTTATCAGCTGCCATTACAGCCAATATATATAAAATTCCAAAAATACAATTTAAATTAGCAGTTCGTTTAGGTACAGACTGAATATTTATACCGTCTCTAAACTCTCTTTCTATTTTAAATGCATAGCTCATTGTAATTAATGGCAATAAAAACCATTTAGAATATCTCACTGATAAAACAACAAACATAATATATGGAGTAAATAGAAGAAATCCATAAAAAATTATTGAAGCTGTCCGACCTATTAATATTGCTAATGTAACAATACCAGCTTTTCTATCACTTTCTAAATCTCTTGTGTTATTACTATGTAATATAGCTTCAGTGTTTAATGCTAAAGGTATAGCATAATATATTGGTTCCAAATTAAGTTGACCAGTATGAGATAAATAAGCAAATAAAACTGACGCAGGCCCAAACAGTATCAAGAATATTAAGTCTCCAAGAGCAATGTATTTGAAACCAAATCCACCAGTGTACAGAAATGAGATGCTCAAACCCCATAAATAGGCAGCAGCTAGATGACCCATTTTTGCCTGAGATATGATGGCGAGCCAAAAGAATGTAACAAAACTCAAAAAGTATAATATAGCACCTAACCTTTCAACTTCATTCTCAGACAAAATTCTATCTACCAAGGTTCGATCATCACTATTACCGCCATCAATGCCACGGACATAATCATAGTAGGTATTCACCACATTTCCAGCTCCATGAACCAAGGCAACCGTTAGTAGAGTCAACAGCAACGTCAGGAGACTAAATTCTATGTTGGAATTTAGTTTCTGAGCTATGGTGCAGCCTAATAAGGTTGGAATTATTGATGCACTCAGTGACCAGGGCCGAATGGCTAATACGTGAGACGGAAGTTTAGTGCGCAGGGACATAAATATTGAGGGTAGATGAGCAGCCACATTAGGTAGTGAATCAGCGGATGCAGTCCCACTGTTTGGCATCGTCTCAACACTTAGTCACCTGAAAAATAAAACAGAAATCAAAAAGGTAAAAAAACATTTATTAATTATTTAAAAATTATTTTGCTATACAAATCAAATACCCACGGAATTAAAATTGTTTGAAGACGAGCCAACAAGACCGGCGATACTACTTCGTAAGTGAATTATGTAATTACAACTGTAGTACCATGATGAAACTAATTAACTGAATATGGATCGAATATTCTATTAAGTACTGACTATATACTATATAGCGTATAAATGTATAATGTATATTATCCATCGGTCATCATATCAATAATCATTATTATTCACTATCATTTCGCAATGTTATCAACGATAGTAACGTCATGTGTTTGCTATGCGGTTTAAACAATAAACGTGGTTACTTTAATTAAACGCCGTCGGGGTTGTTGAGAATGAATACGATTACAACCAATGATTATAAATAATAATAATATAGTATTCTGTATTTATAATCAATGCTACAACCACACTACGTCACTACAGCCTGCAACCTACCTACAATAAATTGTATATGAATTATTCATATATAAATTTATAATCTCGATTAAAGATATCTATAGCTGTGTATTATATACATCAATTGATAATAATATTCAACCTTCAAACAGTTCAAATGCATAGAATATTATACAACAACTACAACAACCGCCGTCTGCCCGTCTATTTCTTATCATCGAAGTCAGCCGCCATTTACAAAGTGGGCAATGTTTACAAAATAATAATATTATCACAGTCGATATGTATATGAATAAATATATGAATAAAATATGTAAAATAATTAATGTAAACATTGCCTGCTTATTAATGGCCGCCGACTTCAATATAGGTCACAACTGTATTATTTATCTATTCTGTGGTGGTAATTCGTAGTTCCCGCGGTGAAAGTAGGTTCAACTAGGCTGCGCTGCAAATGTTGTTCCATAATTCGGCGTATGCATGAAAAACCAACTAAGTTCTGCATAGTCAAAAGCAAAAACAGCATAATTAGGTACGTAATTGTCGTAATTACTAATTATCGTATATCATGATTCATATATAATTCTTACAAGGTTTCAATTGAATTAAACGAATTATGAATAAACTTATATTAAGTATTACCATTGTCCATTGAGTATGGATACATTTGCGGAAATCCATTAAAATTTCAGGGGGGCTAACATTACTATCTTCAATGTGAGCAGGGGGGCTTCGATCTTATACCCCCCCCCCCAGGGAATGTATAGATAGTACTAATATAGCATACTAGATAGATACTATCTATACCCAATGGTATTACTAATAGCTAGTCTCGTTTTTGATTTCAAAGTTTTCGTTATATTGACTTATCATAATAAATAATAATAATATGTACATCACTGTACCGTAGTTTGCAGTCACCGCGCCACCAATCCCCGCGGGCTAGGCATGCTCCGTCCATGATTAAAACCAGCTACAAATTACAATATTACTCACAAGTCAAACCATATGAAAATTATTGCACAAATTTTTTTTAACCTACATTCAGGGCCGGTTTTAAGAGGGGGCACCGGTGGGCAATTGCCCGGGGGCGGCACACTTTGGGGGCGGCAAAATTATCTCAGATAAATTAAACAAAAAATTAATTTTTTTCGTAAAGAGAAAGATTTCTAAAAAATGATATATTTTATTATTATTTATTTTTTAAATTCACATATGCATACATTTTTTTTACCTATATTTTATCATTTTAAATAAAGAGAAATAAACGTTATTAACTAAGTAGGTAGGTACCTAACATTATTAAATATTAGTGGGTTTATTTTTACTAGTAAACTGACAACTGTAAAACTAGACGTATAGTATAACTGCGTTGGCCCGTATTGGCAAATCAGGATTATCGATTGTACTTATTTACTGGCTACTAAAATACATTTGTGTCATTTCATATTATACAACTTGCTAAACTCTATATGTCAGTGACTACGTACTCCGTACCTACATAATTTAAATCTCAATAAGTGAACTAATATAATAGAAATAAGAGTTTACTTTTTTTGAATTGTTATATAAAATAAAATATTATTATTATTATTATATTATTTATAATAATATTAAAACTTTCAACTTTATAACTGATATTGTAAGGTTGTGCCACTGTGCCAGTTAAGGTAGGTACACTACAATTACACAGTTTAGGTTCACTTAAATTACATTGCAAATCTGCATACAATTATTGGATATATTTATATGTTTATATATTTATACATTATACATATGAATTGAATGCAGTAATTTAGCCATAGTGGCAAGTAGGTAAATAATAATTAATAAGTAAATCTAGATAAGTTTAACTGTGTCATAACAATTTTTTAGTTGAAATTATACTTTAATGGAGCTAAAAAGAGTCAAAGCTAGTGGTGTATGTAATGGTAAGGAGCCAAGGAGGCAAAAAAAAAAGAAGGAAAAACCTAATGAAGTTATAAGAAAAAGAAACGAAATAAATAACATGTTTAAACTTAAAAGAGAAGAGCATAGTGAGAAAGTAGAAACCATAGTTTGGAATTCAAAGTAAACACATACTTAGTGATTTGTGATTCTATAATAGAAGAATTAACAAGTCGAAAGTTAGCTTACGATAATGTCATAACAAAGTGTAGTTTATTTTTAAGACTCACAAAGATAAAACCATCAGAAGTACGTGTTTTAGCTGAACATTTGTACTCAATGTATACAAAAGATTTGGATGTAACATTTATTAACGAATGTGTTCATTTTCAAAGTTATATTCAAAATATGAAAAATTCTCCATAAACTATAGTTGATATGAGTTCTATGTTAAAAATAGAAGGATCAGAAGACATTTACCCGTGTGTTAGTATTGCTTTGCTTTACACATGTTTTTATGTACCGGGTACTCCCTGTTCAAACTGTACCGCTGAACGGTCATTTTCAACTTTACGCTGAATAAAAACATACCTAAGGTCAACAATTTCTAAAGAGAGATTAAACTCACATGCAATATTAAATATTGAATCAGAAATAACAAAAGAAATTAAATATGAAGATATTATAGATCATTTTGCTGATATTCAATCAAGAAAAAAATTGTAAAATAAACAATAAATATTATTATATTACTATATTATAGTACATATTATTAATTGTATATCATTCTTTATTATTTGAATCATGGAAGATTCTAGGTAGATAGTACCTACCTAAGACCTAAGTTATAAACTAGTTATTTATGTTTTTTTTGTATAGTTTACCTACTATTAAAAATCTAATATTGGAATGCATAGGTACCTAGTTAAAATTGCTAAAAATTAACTGCAAATTAAATTTCAATGAGAAAGGGAAACATAAAAAATGAATTAATGTTATGCCCCCCCCAAAAAAAAAATAAAATTTAGCCACCACTTCTATGGTATTAAAAAAATGTGTTGGAAAGGGGCGCCATAAATATTGTACCCAGGGGCGAAAAATCCCTAAATACGGCCCTGCCTACATTCATTAATTATTGTTTGATAATTATTTTATTATTATTTATTATTATAATTATTTACATTATTTGACGTATCGATCATTCGAAATATTTTTATATGCAATATTAATTGTAACTGTGAGACGTGAGTACCTAGGTAGGCACGTACTACCTACCTACATTCATTATAAGTTATAACCAGGGTTCGGGACTTATAGCATTTGCATATCCATCATAGGTGATGTAAAACATAGCAGAGTGATCTACAAATACGTTTTGTAGTACAGAGAATTAAAATATGAAATTTTGGGGGTTTTTGCATATTTTAAAGGTTTTTGCATATTTTTTGCTTATTCGACGATTTTTAATGATTGATGGTTAATATAATTGTTCAAAATGTATTAATTAAAATGTTGAACGATTAATTGCGAAAATTTGTTTTGTAGTAATACTATTTGTGTAGCTATCTGTCACAAAAATGTAGTACGTGCACTTGATTTATAAATACCTACTCAACAAATCGAAAACCATGTAGTTATCTGAGTTATGGTTTAACAAACAAATATATGTAATATTATCACCGGAGGAGAGTCTATGGATCTTCGTTCAATAGCAGAAGATCTAACATGTAATGATCTGTTATTTTTCAAGTATGCTCCCATTACTTCCGTCGACTTGGAACGTTCATTTTCGGCATATAAGTGTATTCTAGCCGATAATAGAAGAGCCTTCCAGTTCGAAAATGTTCGAAAACATCTAATAGTTCATGCAATCACAAAGGCACTAAGATTTAAATTACAAATTTTTTTATTTTTTAATTTTTTAATTTTTTTAAATATAAAAAAATTAATACATTATATATACCTATTTATTAATACATATAATATCAAATAAATCTTTTTTGTTAATGATTTTTAATTTTTTTTTTAATTTTTTAGTGCATATTATTTTCATTTTTAGTGCATATTTTTAAGTTTATTGGGTCATATATAAGCGCATATTTTAGTGCTTTTTAGTGCTATAAGTCCCGAACCCTGGTTATAACTATATTGATTGATAATTATTTTTATTTTTTCTTAATATTTAATCTTTTAAATATTGCATCTAGGTATATAAACTATAAAGTAAAACTTATAAAAACGCCTCCTAATGATATTATTATATTCACAAAATATTGTAAGAAACATAATATATTCAATTTTAAATTAAGCTATAAAAATTAAACATTTTCTACATTTTTAACTACAATGTAATTTGAAAATGTTTGTAGTTTAAATTGTACAGAATTGTACAGAATATATTAAAATATACAAAACAAAATAATATTATTGTTAATTTTTCGAAAAATATTTACTATATTATAATATATATTTTTTTTTTTTTTTTTTTTTTATTTTTATAATTTTTATTTACAATCTGTTACAATAAAAATATGAACAATAAGTAAAATAGATAATTGAATGAATAAGTGGCTTGAGGAAAGGACGGATTTAAGAAGCCTTCCAGTGAAGACACTTTGTCAGCTGTTTAT